GAAGGAAGGAAGGAAGGAAGGAAGGAAGGAAGGAAGCAGCTGAGGCAGAGGAGGAGCTTTTCCTTTTCCTTCTCTTTCCATCCATCCCCTGCAGGACGACAGCGACTCCCTCCTCCCAACCCACTGCTGGAACTGGAGCTGCTCCCAGCCCCGAGCCAGGAGCTACTGTGGTGGGGGGGAAGAAGGTCCCTGCTTGGTTTCCCTGCCATGTTTAATCATCCAAATATCCAATAAAAACCCCTGGAGCCGAGGGTGGTACAGTGAATAAGCCGTTTTTATTTTTGTCCTGTGCTCACACAATCTCTCTTCTTTCCCTGACAGGTTCACAGATCATTCAAAGAAAAAGTTTTTTTTTTTTTCTAAGAGGAAAAATAATTTAAAACATACGCACAGGGCCTCCCTTCCAACCTCCCCACACCCACAGCTCCACCACTTTGTGCTTCGTCTCGCGCGGCAGGATCCCGGGAATCGGGGCTGGACGAGCCCACCGGGGCCTCGGCGGGTCCCAACCACCCCTCAGTGCACTCCCAGATCCAAATGCTTCTCCCAAAATCCTGGAGGAAGCGCCCTTGGACACACGTGGCCCAGCAGGCAGCTGCTCCAGGCCTCCCTCCTGCCTCTCCAGGTGTCCTTCCCTTGAGTGACCACCCGAGTCCTCCCTCTCCCCTGGATCCCGTGCACAGGACTGGCTCGGAAAAGCCATTTTTTTGTCGTTTTTTTTTTTTTTTTTTTAAGCATTTTTTTTTTGTTTGTTTCGTTTTGTTTGTTTGTTTCTGTTGCTGGTAAAGTCCGAACACTCCCAGCTGTGCTATATGGAAATACAGCTTCTAGGATGGTCTCCCTGCAGAGACCGACAGTGATCAAGGCACTACCCCCACCCCCCTCCTGAAAACAAAGGAAGTCAGACCAACACCTTGGGACAGAAGAGAATCCTATAATGTGATCACACGGTTACACGGAATCTTTTATGGCAAAGAGAACACTGAGCAGCTTTGAACGTTTGGGCTTCTCCCTTTTTTTGTTTTTTGTTTTTTACTCAACACAAGCACTTCTAGACCCTAAAGGGGAGGAAAAAAAAAAAAGGGGGGGGCTGAAGCCCCAGAAAACCCAAGCGTGGTTACGGGGCAGGGACCTACAGCTGTCTAAGGCTCTAAGTGACAACCCAGGGCCTGGGCTGGGATTGGGATCGGGATTTCACCGCTCCCCTTGTGCTGTTGGGGGCCCTGGAGGCCCCCCCAGATTCCTCCCCAGGCAGTCAGTGGGAGAAGCCAGGGTTGGCATGCAGGCTCTGCGTGCTCCGAGGGCGCTGGGGACACGGATCCTGCTGGATCCCTTAACCCTCTCCAGTCTCTGTCCTTCCCGAGGCATCCCAGCTCCTCCTCCTCACAGCTTTCCTGCCAGGCTGGTTCTCCCACCCCCTGGGAACGGTGTTTCCCCCTCCCCTGCTCTGAGCTCCCTCAGGCTGGAAAGGGTTAATTCACACCACTGTTTGTGTCTCCACGTGTGCACTGGTCTGATCTAGGGAAGGGCTGTTGGTTCATCTGGAATTGAGTCGGATTGAATCACACACACCGATGGCAAAACGGGTTCAGGAAAAAAAGGAAAGGAAAGGATAAAAAAAAAAAAAAAAAAAAAAAAAAAAAAAAAAAAAAAAAAGGAGGAAGAAAAAAACCAAAAAAAAAAAACCCCAAAAATCCAACTACCTGAAATCACAGAACTTTGGAAGTTCAGAAAAAACGTCTCTCCTATAACTTGTTTTGTGTTTTGTTTTTTTTTTTTTTGTTTTGTTTTTTTTTTTAAGTTCATCCGCTTAAATTTCTTTTCTTACTTAAAGCCAGTTCCTA